GACTGAATCTCCAGGCTGCATGGCAGCAGAGGACCCGGAATGTCCCTTCCCGGGTCCCCACCTGCCCAGCAGACTGGCTGTCACGCCCACAATTTGTCTCTGGGAGCCATCTTAGCACACCAACAGCCCTGGCCCAGAGACTCCCAACTGAATCCCAAATGGATTAGTACCATACAGAGATGTCTCTGGAACCCAACCATTTACAATCTAGAAATTTACATTTATAATTACAGCTGTGTGAGCTCTCATGATGTTCAAAACAAGCAATGGAAAATAAATTATCTAGCGTCTGCCCCTGGCAGTTAGGCTTGAATGGTGGTGGGAAATTTTCAGCAAAATATAATGCCCGAAATTAGAGTATTGGGGAAATTGTCTGCCATAGAGGCAGGGTGAGGACTGGGATGTGGGTGGTGGAAAATGTACACTGGTGGAGGGATGGGTGTTCCAACATTGTATGGCTGAATCTCAAACATGAAAGCTTTGTAGCTCTATCTCACGTTGATACAATTAAAAAAAAAAGTAATGTGGAGTTCATGCCCAATTCAATCAGATTGATCACTGGCTGAACAAATAGCAGTATTCCTACATTATTCAAAAAAAAAAAAAAAAAGAAGAAGAAAGAAAAGCCATGAATGAAAAGCTCACAGAACTTTATCCCAATGGGGAAAGTTTGCCCTTTAAGATCAGAAACAAGGCAAGCATACTCACTCTTGTTACTTCTATTCAATATAGGACTGAAAGTTCTAGTCAGAACAACTATGAAATAAAAGTTAAAAACTAATCATGAAAAGAATAAATAAGTAAAATTATCTCTGGGAGTAAAAATGATCTAGTTTAGGGGTGATAACACATCTAGTGCATCTAGTGGTGTTCAGGGGCTAATCCGGGCATGCTGCTCAAGGGGTTGCTTTTGCCAGTGAAAGGGAACACGTAGTGCTGGGGATTAAACCCAGGCCTTTCTCATGCAAAGTGACAGTAATTTCTTTAGGCTCCCCCCCATATCTTATACACAGATAAACATATATTACATAGAGAAGCATGCAAAGAGTTAAGACTAAGTATACAAAGTCAACAAATAAAAATCAGTCACATACGTACACATTTATGATCTAAAAGGAAATAAAGCAATGCCATATATAAAAGCATTAAAAAGAATAAATTAGGAATTATCCAAGAACATGAGCATCATCAAGTCAACTATAAAACATTAGAGGAAAAAGTTTTATTTATTTACTTTTATTTTTTATTAATTTTATTGAATCACCATGAGATAGTCATAAGCTTTCATGTCTGGGTTATAATCACACAATGATTAGGGCCGGAGCGATAGTACAGCAGGTAGGGCATTGCCTTGCACGCAGTCGACCTGAGTTGGATCCCCGGCATCCCATGTGGTCTCCACAGCACTGCCAGGAGTAATTCCTGAACATTGTTGGGAGTGACCAAAAAGCAAAAAAAAAAAAAAAAAACCACCAAAAAACAAACAAAAAAACAATCACACAATGATCAAACACCCATTCCTCCACCACTGCACATTCCCCACCACCAATATCCCCGTATATCTCCCCTTTCCCACCCTTCCTCTGCCTCCATGGCAGATATGAAGAGGAAAAAGTTTTAAAAGACACTGTCTGTAGCACTGTCCTGCCCTTGTTCATCGATTTGCTCGAGCGGGCCCAGTAACGTCTCCATTGGAGACTTTGTTGTTACTGTGTCTGGCATATCGAATACATCACGGGGAGCTTGCCAGGCTCTGCTGTGTGGGCGAAATACTCTCGGTAGCTTGCCAGGCTCTCTAAGGGGGGCGGAGGAATCGAATCTGGGTCGGTCAGCTTGGCCACGTGCAAGGCAATGCCTTACCTGCTGTGCTATCGCTCCAGCCCTTTAAAAGACATGAAAGAATAAAAATTCTCATGGATTGGGAAGATTTGATAATTTTAAGATATCAATACTATATGATTTATGATTCAATGTAATCTGTATTAAAACTTGGGGCGGAGATATTGGTGAGAGCAAGGATGGGGACACTAGTGGGGGAAAATAAGACACTGGTGAAGGGATGGGTGCTGGAACATTCTAAGACTGAACCCACCTCCCACCTTGCACCCCCCCACCTTGTAAAAAAAACACTCAAATGTCTGTGATCAAATAGAAACAGCCTAAAATTCACATGCGGTATCAAGGAAACCCAAGAATAATTTTGAAAAAGAAAACAAAGATGTTTTTCTTTTTGATTTCAAAACTTACTACAAAAGTACAATAATCAAACAGTGTGGTACTGGCATAATGAAAACACATAAATATAAATTAAAAAGACTAGAAAACCCTAAAATAAATACACACTTATATGATTAAAAATAATTTAAAGGGTACCAGTAAAGGACATGTTTTTCCAATAATTACTGCTGGAACAATTGCTAGATACCCACATGCAAACAAACAGTTGGGTGAGACTCACAAATGAACCTCAAAACCAAGCAGCTCGTGCACTGTAGGGATGGCTCCATGTGCCAGCCAGGTTGATTTCACTGGGACACCTCAGATGGGAGCAGGTGTCCTCTCTCTCTGCCTGCACCAGATGAACCCCAGCAGTCTCAAACCTCCAGAAACCCACTGCCGCCACCCTCATAGCTGACTTTCAGATGCTCATTCTGGCTGGGCCCCCCATGCAAGAGAATGCTGAGAACCCAGGTATGTGGGACTAGTGACCGAAGACCCCAGGCCTCAAGGGGTCGAGACTGGGCTATCCCATCTCCCTGCCCTTCTGGGCTCCTGGCTGTCATGCCACCAACTGCCTCCAGGTGTCATTTAAGCACATTAACAGCCAAGATCCAGAGACTCACAAATGAATCTGGGAACAGAGCAGCTCGCTACAGCGATGGCTCTGGACCCCAATTATTTATAAACTTTTAGAATCACAAAAGTGGCCATGTGATATCTCATACTGTTTTTTTTCTTTTTGCTTTTCTGTTGAATCACTGGGAGATAGACCCTTACAGACATCTTATACTATTCGTAACAAGCAATACAAAATAAATTATCTAGCATTTGCCCGTGGGGCAGGTTTGAGTGGAGGTGGGGGAAACTTTGAAATAATGGTGATGGGAAGGTGTAATGGTGGTGGGATTGGTGTTGAACCATTGAATGTAATCAACTATTGCGAACAACTTTATGAAAATAAAATTTAAAAATTAAGAAAAAAGAATAGTTGGTGATCTATCTTCTAAACACCTAAATAAAAATGGAACTAAGACTCAAATGTAGTAATAATTAAATCTGTGAAACTCCTATAAGGCAAAAGCTCTTCAACATCTGACAATGTTTGCACATAATACTAAAGGCACATGCAATAGAAAAAAAGAGACAAATGAACTTCATAAAAAAAATTAGAGGCACCATCCACAGACAAAAGCGTATATACAGAATGGAAGAAAGTATTTCCAAATCACATATCCAGTAAGAAATTAATGTTCACAGTACATGGAGAACTCTTAAAGCTCTGCAATGAAAGGCTGTAGAGATATAGTCAGGGGTTAAGGTGCAATGACTTGCATGCAGTCAATCCTGGTTCAATCCCTGGCACCACAAGTTCCCCCAAGCATCACAGCTGCATCCCTGGAGGTCCCAGAGCACTGTGAGGGTGGTCTTAGCTGAGCAGCACAGATCTTTGGGCCCTCACACTGAACTGCTGGCCTAGCTGACTGAGAATCACCAGGAGGGATTCTCAAGCCCTCTCTCTGAGCCATGCTTGGAAGATCCTTCAGAAACCAAAACCTAACTAGGAAAACTCTTAAGAATGAAACAGAACACAAGTTGTTTTTTTAATGTATAAAAGTTTTGAAATGGAATTTTCCCAATGATTAAAAATAAAGAGAGCCCGGCAAGCTACCGAGAGTATTCGATATGCCAGACACAGTAACAACAAAGTCTCCAATGGAGACGTTACTGGGCCCGCTCGAGCAAATCGACGATCAACGGGAGGGCCTTTACTTTACTTTACATGAAGATACCCATATCACTAATCACTAGGGAAATGTAAATCAAAACGATAATGATAAATCACCTCACACACATCAGGATGGTAAAGAAATGCAAATACCAAATGTTCATAAAGATACGGAAAGAACTGGAAACCTTGTGTACTATTGTTAGGAATACAGAATTGTATACTCTGCGAACTGTGAAAAGCTATATCATATAGCTTTCATATTACAGAATATAAAATTACAAAATTACCGCTGATCCATCAATTTCATTTCTGAACACATATACAAAAGAATTGAAAGAAGGACCTGAAGAGATACTTGTATACCCATGTTCACAGCAGGATTATTTTAGCTAAAACATGAGTCAACAGATGAATAGGTAAGCAAAATGTAGAATTCACAGACAATATTAATCAGCTTTAAAAAAGGAAATTCTGCCAGATTAAACAGAATATAGATTATCCTCAAGAATACTACACAAAGTGAAGTAACCTGCTCACAAGAGACAAATACTGTATAATTCTGCTTATATAAAGATATAGAGTTGAAATCACGAGACAAAAAGAATGGTAGATGCCAAGGGTTCTTAAGAATGAGAGGGAAAATGGGGAAATAATGTTTAATAGAATCAGCTTAATAGTTTATCAGATGAAAAGTGTTCTTGAGATAATGAGGTAACTGCAGTGTAACATTTTGAATGCAGCTGGTACCACTGAACCATCACCTAAAACTAGTTAAGATGGTAAGTTTTGTTTGTGCAAAGTGAATGAAAAAAAATCAGAATTAGAAAGTCAGAAAAGAAAAAGAAACAGATTTTCAAAATTACTACTCCCTTGTCAGGATTTAGAAGGTATCTTAAGGGTTTAGAAGGTACTACTTTTGTCAGGGTTTATAATAAATCTATCAGTTAAATTACACATTGATGGAAAACTATGGAATGATGCTAAGACATCTTTTAAAGTTTATAAATCAAGTGTCCTAAAATAAGCAAAACAGATTACATAGCTGAATTACCTGTTTCTTTGAAAAGCTTTCATTAATTTTGGTTCCCATGGCAGCAATTCATTTAAGAGACGAATCAATGTACTGTGCAACTCTTTTACAGCTTGTCTCCGATGATACCATTTGCCCTAAAAACACAATTTTAAAATAAACCCCTTAGATTTAATCTAAAAGTGAGTGTCAAGCCTTATTTTCTGAGTTAGGAAACAAAATACCAATACCTATCAAATATGTATTTCTTCTTTAGAAAGTTCAGAAAGAAGAAAAATACGCGGTAATCTTATCTGATGGATTTAAGATTCTCAACTCTACAGCTGAAATTTAAAACCTATTTAAAATCAAGCTAGGAAACATAATTTTGTTTTTACAATTTTAGAAAAAACATACCTTAGATATACCTTTTTCTAAAATAGGTATTAATATTTAGAAATGTAACAGGAGACATAAAATTTAAACAAAGGTCAGTTGTAAATATTTTAGAAAATCACTTACAAAATACACATTAAGACACAAACAGTTAGATAAATTTATTAAATAGGAAAATGATACTGTTCTCTTGTCAAGTTTCTGTAATTTTCCCAGGGTAGAAAAAAAAGTGAAAAGCCAGGGTTATTGTCATATGAAAAAACATTAAATTTCTTCTTTTTTTTTTTGGCATTTAAGGCCACTCCCAGCAATACTCAGGCGTTACTCCTGGCTCGGTTCAGTAATAACTCTTGGTGGTGCTCAGGGGACCATATTGAATGCCAGGGATTGAACCCAGGTCCACCGCATGCAAGCCACATGTCCTACCCACTGTACTTACTTGATGGTCCTGAAAGCAGTTTGGTAGTTTTATAATTATTTTATTTTTAAAATGATGACAAAAGATATCATTTTTAATGCTATATAGTGCTACACTCTCAGTATTAATAACCGAAAGCCCTTCCACTTGCTAAGTGCAATGTCCTATGTAGAGAGCGAAGGACACTGGGAGGACATGCTCTCTCAACGGCAAGAGAGCGCACATGTGCAGACAAGCAGCTCTGAAAATCCTTGGGAAATGTTTTAGAGTATTTAGTCTCACTAAGACTTAACAGACTGAAAGACTTGTTCAAGATCCTATGATCTGAATACAGATCTTCCTGATCCAGACGTCCAAATTCTTACTACCCCATTATCTCTTAGAACATATGCTAGAAATTTAATTTGACATATATTATAAAGAAACTGTGGCAAGTATAAACTTCACTAGCATCCATAAAGTCATCCAAATATCACAGGAATAACAACTTTACATGTTACATTTGGAGCCTGCACTGCCATCTCCAGTGTTAACATATATCAATATTACCATTACCACGATCATCATCTTTATTTACAGCTATATAACCATGTTTCTTTCTGGAGGAACAATATTGAGATAAAATTTAAAAGTCATACATTCCACATGCTATCTCTTTTGTTGCAAAAAAAAAGACATGTCTTACAGACACACAACATATATAAAATCAGACTTCCTCTAAAAACAATTGCTAATTAAGCCAATTTGCAAATATGTGGGCATAAAGGCAGTAAAATACTAGTAAGAGTAGAAAAAAAAATCATGATTAAACTAAAAAAAAAACATATTCTAAATATATGAATGAATTTTCGTATTACGTGGGATATAATGTGTTAATTTTGGTCACATTATAAAGACCCCAAAATAGTTACTACCTGCTAAAAATACTGTGCTTCTAAATCAACAGAATGTTTGCATTTGTAAAACCAAACAATCACATTTCTGCAAACAAGCTATTATATACAGAAGGGGAGCTGCTTAGTAGAAGAGTAGGGAAATGTAGATTTTTTATATATTCATGTGCACATGCAGCTATATATGCTAACATACAATTTAATAATTTACGTTAATAACATTATTTATTAACCTTTACTAATTTATGTTAATAACATTATTTCTCTAATTCTCAATTACCATCTGGCTCAGAACTGAAATGGTGAGATTAGAAGTCAACTTTTCGCAAGCTAAGGAAAGAAAGCATAAAGAAGGATGGGGGCGGGGGGGAGTGGGCAGACAGGGTTCACCTGGGCAGTACGAACGCCTGTCTGGATCAGGGAGAGGACAGGGAATGCGAAACAAGTGACATTATTATTGGACCAAAGAGCCAAGCAGATGAAGCACAGAAATGGAGACTGAAAAGGATGCTGTTACATTAAGTCAGATCCATAAAAAAAATGTAATCCTGACTTCTCTTTGTAAATCAGTATATACTTATGGGAATTAAGACTGTTTCAATCCTTGCTATTTTAAGAGAAAACTATTTCCTAAGATAATCTCAATGTGCTATATTAACTCAAACACTTCATGATGGTAACTTTTAAAGAGCAATGTTTTCATTTATAAATTTACTATGAAGTTTAATACTAAGTGAAGTATGGATTTCAAATACACACATGGAACCAAAGGCCTGCAGTAAGATCTCAACGTCAAGCTTACCTTTCGGTATTTCCGCATCCAATGTCCACAGCAGCTGCAGATTGCCACCTCCCTTTCCGTGAAAGGCCCCAAATGACAAACAGTGGAGGTTTTATAAACTCAGAGGGATTACTACAAAAAGGAGCTGGTCTGTGGTCACAAGATAAGCCCTTTGTTATATTATGCAGTTTCATAAGCTTTTAGATGTGGTATGTTAATAATTTAAAGAACCAAACTTACAAAACCACATAATACTGTAAAATGAAAAACTGAATCTATGTGTGTGAAATGAGTGGTGAGGGAAACTTACCTTACAACTAAAGAACAACTCCATACTGTTGCAGTAATCTAGGATGGGTATAAGAACACCAGCATAATGCTGGCTGGGGTGTTACATGGAGAGGGAGTGGGCAATGTACTGGTGCTGAGGACATTGGACACCTAAAAGGAAGAAAAAGGAAAGAAAATAAATTCAAGCTTTGATAAGTCCCATTACCATGGACATATCTTTGTACATTTTAAGAAATTTAAGTATTCTGAATGTTAAACTGGGTGAGAGGAACTTGCTTATATAAATCATGCATTTCCTTCTAACAGTATACTTAAACTCTGCATCAATAATACACAAAAAAATTTAGATCCACATACAAATATACAAAACATTAGTTTTCAAATTGAGAGTATTATTTTGACAGACATTTTTAATTAAAAAGAACAGAACAGAAGCCAGAGAGGTAATACAAGGGGTTAAGTCACATTCCTTTTATATAGTTTAATCCCTAGTACCACATGGCTTTCCAAACACACTGCTAGGTGTGGCAACGAGGCCCCCCCCCCCCCCCCCCCCCCGAGGCCAGCTGGGGTGGCCCGGGTAATCCCAGCCACTACAGATCCAGACCAGTACCACAACCTTGAGTCCTCGCACTGAACAGTCAGACAGGTTAGTTGAGTTTCTGGGAGGGGCCCTATGCCTCCTGAGCAATGTTTGGGACCATAACCCTAACCTCAACCCTGGCTCAAAACATTTTAAAAAATAATAAAAACAAAAGTAGAAAAAGATGATATATACAACAGAAGTATGAATGCTTTAAAAAATGTTTTATTTAAATATGTTAGAGTAGAGAAACATGAAATCCTATGACAAAATATATTTGTTATAGGCTTAGTTCTTGTTTAAGAGATTCCTATACAAAAAGGATTCATTTAAAAATCATTGCAGAGGCCGGAGAGGTAGTACAGCGGGGAGGGCACCTGCTTTGCATATTCCTGACATGGTTTGATCCTTGGCACCCCAGTCCCAAGGGCCACTTGGCCACTCCAATAGTCCCCAGAGCGTACCAGGAGTGATCCCTGAGCGCAGAGCCAAGAATAAGCCCTGAGCATAGCTGGTTGTGGGTCCAAAACAAAAACAAAACAAAAAAATAAAAACTGCTGCCAAGATCTAAACATAGATTGCAAATAATATGAACTACTAATATGTATAGAACCAAAAAAAATTATCATTGTTTTAATAATTAAATGTATTTTTCATAATCTAAGAAATAAACTAGTAATACTATATTTAGTGTCATTTTTCAATCACAATAGAACGTGTGTCATATTCATACAATAGTGTATAATACATGTATATATATGACCTGTATATAAATGATACATTTGTATATTAAAAAAGCATGTTAGTCTTGCTGGTATACATACAGGTTCTTGAAAAAGTTCCAGTTTGAGGGGCCAAAGCAATAGCACAGCGGGTAGGGCATTTGCCTTGCACGCGGCCAACCCAGGTTCGATCCCTGGCATCCTATATGGTCCCCTAAGCACTGCCTGGAATAAGTCCTGAGTGCAAAGCCAGGAGTAATCCCTGAGCATTGCTGGGTGTGACCCAAAAAGGAGAAAAAAAAAAAGTTCCCGCTTGACAATACAGTGAAATGTATGGATGTTCATGTGGAAAAAGTTTAAAACTCTTTTAAAATTGTTAAATGTGCTGATATGAAATACTTTATATTAATGCCAGTATTTTCTCTGGATGTACTCTCTCCAATTTTCATTTTAATTCAAAAGCATTTGTATTTTATTTTAAAGGTATCCCACATTAAACAACATATACATTCCATTACAATTCTAAATTAGCATTTAACTAACTAGCATCAAGACAATTACTTCAATGATAACATGGAAGTTTTCATGTCCTTTGGCTTTGCAGAGAAGAAAAACATAGATGATGGGTCACAATCTGAGGAAGCAGTACTAGGGAAAGAAGTTTAAGAGTATAGGTAACCAATTGTAACGTCTCCATTGGAGACTTTGTTGTTACTGTGTCTGGCATATGCAATACTCTCTGTAGCTTGCCGGGCTCTCCGATTCATTTACAAAGATGAAAGAATTGTGAACTGGAAATATTGGCTGAGTATCTGAATTTGATCCCTTTCAGTGGCAGCAAAGAAGTTGATTCAAATTTATACCTTGTATCAGAAAGGTGGGTTCTCAAGCAATTCACAGCCAAATCTGAACTAAGTAATGGTACATTTGGCATCATCAGAGCACAAAAGTTCCACAAAATTTGAAACTGGGAGTATCTTTACTTTCTCTCACTCATTCACAATACATAGCACAGAGCAGACAGTAATTCAAACTATGTAAATAAATTTCTTTTTGTTGTTGTTTCAAGGCCAT